AAGGACGGGCTTCCAGACATCGCGTACATCCTCGCGCGGCGCGCGTCACACACAGATCGGTATAGCACGTCAGACGACACCCTCCGCACCTCGCGCTATGAGACCCTGCAGCGCCGGAAGGGGCTCGCGTCGAACTACACCGATGACACTGTCGACACCGCCTTCACGCGCGTCGACCTGGAGGACCGTGAGGCGGCGGCGGCGGACGAGTTCGGGTTTGCGTACGACCGCGGGTACGCGCCGCCGCGGACGTCGAAGCGCGGCGACTCGCCCGGACGGGACACACTCGCCTCGGCCGACACGCTCTACGGCAGCGGGGGCATCGGCGCGATCCCGCGGCGCGCGTCGCGCACGATACTCGAGAGCCCGCCGGAGTCGCCTGCGTTCCCGGAGCGCGCGCTCTCGCCGCACGGGGACGCGTACCAGCACCAGCGCGGGCGGAGCGACGAGCTCGGCGTCGCGGTCCCGCTGCTCGCCCACACGCGGCACGGCTCGCAGCTCTCGCGCGACGAGGGCCTCCCCGAGTTCGGGCTTGCCGGGGCCGGCGACGCTGTCCTGGGACCGGGCAGGCGCAGGACGCACTCGTATCAGAGCTCGGCGAGTGGGCGCATGCATCCGCTGCGTATGTCGAGCAGCTTGTCGGGAGAGTGGGGGCTGCAGGAGGGCGCGGAACTCCGGCCGGTGTCGGAGGCCACGTCCCCGCCCGCTGAAAGACATGCGCCGTAGCCGATGGTTATCTCGGGGTCGTCGAATCGTCCGCTCTACCGGTTTTCAAGATACGGACTTGGCGTTCACATTCATCTAGGGATTACACTCATCTCGCACTTTGTATATGCTCAGGAGGACGGACCTGCCATCACTATTACTTACCTTTACTGACCTGATAGTTGCTGTTTAGTATTCGTTACATACTCATGACCGCTGGGACATTGATCATTGCTGTTACCACACTCACTCAGATACATTCATTGTTATTGCGCACGCACCATGTAATCTATCAACTCAAAGACAAACCATGCCCAGATGGCATACAATTCATACATTCTAATCACTCACTGGCTAAATCGGCAGTTGGATATTGGGCCGTTATGATTGCTTTCGTTTTAAATGCCTGATCCGAGACCACTGGGATATGACCGATTACCAGTCAGCCGTATACATACATCTTGTTACTACTGCAAAACATTCCTCCGCCCATATCATCAAATCACACCCGTCGCAAGGGCTTTAAGGGTCTTGATAGAAGGTACGAAAAAGTACTCTCCTCCTCTCGAGTTAACAAAAAACTGCTGAGGAATGCCTGGAGGAGGCTGAGCGCCGCGTCTTGCGACGGTGGCGAACCCTTTCACCTCGAGCGTATCCCCATTCTCATTGAGAAATTGGAGATCGACCTGGTCTCCAGATTCAACAGGATGCTTCTCGTTTATCTTCACAGGATCGCTCAGGGGGTGAGGGGGACCACCGAGAATGGGATCTTGGCCTGATAGGCGATGACACATCAACGAGGTGTGACTGTTATAAGAACAACTATCACTGAGGTAGAAATCGACAAGACTGACCGTGTACGTCAGGGATGAAAGAAACAGATGGGAAGTAGTCGTTGTTTGCGTATTGAACGGTTTGACGCACGAATCCCGAATTCAGGTCAGATTGGTAGGCAACAAAAAGAAGCCCACGCCAATGGTTTGGATCTGGATCTGTCGTTTGTTTCTTTTCTTCATCAGGGGAAACCTATACCAGAGGCAATAAGGGATAAACATTGATACTTCCGCTGTCTCCCTCCTGTTGATTAATTGTGGACTAACCTCATCGCCGAAAGGAATTCCAGCTCGAATGATGGACCCACCCTCTAGAAATTTCTTCGCAAGGAATGGGTCGAGATCACGCGGCGCAGTCTTGCGAGTATGAGCTGTGAACGGACAGTGCTTATCCGTGGGGAAGTCTATACCGGGGATCGTATAATTGAAATCGTTGTTCCTTTTCGGGTCTTTCGCCATCGCTGGATCGTCGAAGACAGGTGCTTTTGCGATCGGGGCACCCTAGGTAAACCCATGGTAGCTCAGCCAAGCAGTGTGAGTGTTGAACAAGATTGCTTACGGAGGGCCACCGCCCAACAATTCTCGCACCCCAAAGCTCCGCTCCCTCTTTGTCCGTGAGCTGCTTCGTCGTGTCCACCTTTGGCACGAACTCTTTCCAGCGTGGGCCGTTATCGTTCAAGTACTTGTGAAATTCGGGAACCAGCTGTTGGAGTTTACGAAACACCATAAATGTTCCATCTTTTGCCCAGTCTGGGCGTTTCTTGAGCATGGGGTCGCCTTCGTAACCCGTTATAATGACCCCTGGATCGACCTGGATTTGACCTGGGTTGGGGACGATGATGCCCCTAAATAAGGTGGTCGAAAGAGAATATAAGTATCGCCGATGGGCATATCTGGTAAAACCCCATACCTCATTGCAGGCTGAGAGATCCCGTCCATATATCCAAAATGTTCATGTCCTTTCTGGTCATTAGGTCGAGCCTTACCCTGAATTACTGTGATCTCATTCGCGTTGATAGCACCTTTGAACTTTATCTTGAAGGCCTCTATCTCCGTTTGACATTCCTGTACATCTACAGAAGTCTTCAGTCACAAGACCGGCCACGAGGAAGGAAGATGATAATCTACCATTTGCAGCAATGCTAACAACACAATGAATAGCCCCCGCGTCCTCGTTCGCAGTTCCATGCACCGGATCCGAGTTCGGCTTATCGAAGACACTGTCCCACGGCATCCCATCCCCAAGGTACGTCTTATTGTCCCTCATGCAGAACGTGTCGAAACGATCGTCTCCAATCGGTTCGCGCTGGCCGAGTAGGTTTAGACCTGCACGAGTGAATGCTATCTGTGTCTGTACGATCTTGATGATTTGGGTGCGCTGTACCCCAGAAGCGAGTTTGGCGGAACGGATGGCGGAGAGGTTGTTGAAGACCTGGGAGCCAGGGGTTGGGTGGAAAGAAGCTAGGGCTATCTTGAATTGCGCAACATCGCTGATACGGAAGAAAATGAAGGCTTCAGCAAGCTAGGTCAGCATACATGCGAGCCCAATAGTCAACGATCGAATACTGGCGGTTTAGATAAGCTCCAGACAGACCTTGGGGAATTGATAAATGATGTCTCCCTGGACATTGTTTGGGTCAGGGAGATTGGGTTCTGACGGGAGCGTCCCGGAGGATGTCAAGAGAGGGATGATACTGCGATTGCGCAGTGACGCGAAGTACTGGAATGAATGCTGGACGTCTCCCATCGTTTGGATAAGTCAAATGTGCAAGCTTTGATCGGCCAGATCAGCGTTAGGCCAAAACGTATAGGACAGGACACGTACAGTTGAAATATGCGTTCAGATGTCTGCGGGAGGAAGGAAGATGCTGTATAACTGCAGGCTGGGGCTTCAAGTGCCCTATTCTCCTCCCTCTTAAATGTACGAGGCGTGCTCTGGAACTCCACGTGCATCTCGCTGGAGAAGTGTCAACCCCAATTCACCACTCTTCTCGACTGCACGAAGCCATATGTGTACATCTCTACGGCGCTCCGCTAGCAGCTAGAATGATTGGAAGTCGGGGCTGTATATAGCGCTTACCTTGAAGGGATAGAATGTCACCTCGTGAGTCGGTCTCCTTCACCCTTGTACCCTACTAGTAGCAATTCGAGTACTTGAAAAGTGAAATGGCCCTTGTGAAGGCGCTCCCCTTGATAGAAGGTATGGAGAAAGTGTACATACCGCGTACTCAAATGTTATCAGAACGATTTTGAGAGGGCTAGATCAGAACGCGTCAAGAACGGTGGCTCCTTCATACATGAAGCATGTAGCTCTTTACTAACCGGGACAAGAACCTGGATATACTAACGCAACAATGGCTGTCGCGCAACTTCCCGATAGACAGCATGTGTGCAGACATAGTAAAAAATCACACATAACGAAGACAGCAAGCAGTAGGACTACCGCAAGTCAGACTTCCCTGGAGCTTTTCGATTTGGGGCTCAAAGGCATAGTGAGTACTCGCCTGGCAGCCAGCCCTGCCGTCGCGCAGTGGAGCCTATTAACTTTCACGTTACCTTGACTTCGATAGGCCAAAGTAAATTCCAGCCTCACGAAGTACGGCACACATTCAGCCTTGTCGCTGTTATGGTATGATTTCGACATGGCTGGTTTCAGATCGCCATGGTATGGAAGTCCTCCGGCATTGCCTTGTAAGTTCTGCAGTTATCGAAAAATTTGATGAATATTGGGTACCAGAAACATACAGGGCTGCTTTAGGTGTCGCGATAAAGAAATCTTTCCTAATGTTTCTCGTCTCATTTTGACTCGAGTGGGATATGAGCCTGGCCAGTGTGACGGGTTTGACTCGTCCAAGATGTTGCGAAGCTGAAGATATGCTGGCCGAAGCCAGTTGCAGAAGTGCTGAGCGAACACTCAACCACAGTCTAATCGTAAAGAAAATATCAGCGAGTTTTCACGTAAGCAAGACGCAGACAATCCTACACGCATAAGTAGCTTCCTGCACTGCATGGCCGCGGCTGGGATCTGCTCCCAGATAGAAGAAGGGATTGTCAGATAGACAGTGCAGCAATGACGCTTCTCTCATGACTTGAAAGATAGAGTGCTCGATTGGGGGCGCATTGGAGCTGGGAAGAGGGTGGAGGTAGAGTGAGATGATCGTGATCCCGTTCGAGAATTGTTTTGATAGTTGTCAGGCTATGTGAGCACCCACCAACATGACATATCCCTGTTCACTCACCGACATATTCATTGGGCAGAGTAAAGCGAACAGAAGTGGTACAAGTTAGAGAGGGCGCTGAAGAATTTGCTCGTTCCGCCCATCTTGTACCCGATGACGAGCCGGCGCTCGCGGCTTCCTTCGACCTCAAAGACCTCGATGACGGGCCCATACCAGGACTCGACATTCCACATGACACGCGGGTAGATCTCCAGTGTATTCTCGCTCGCTTTCTCCAAGACCGGATCCGACACAGTGCGAATATCGGTCTTGCTGCTCGCGTAGTCAGTCAAACGAAGTCGAAACATGTACCAAAATCACTCGCCTGTCACTGCTTGCAGACGCGGGCGGGAAATTGCATCCTGTCACAAAGTAGCACCGCAGTTGCTGCGACGCTGTGACCGAAATTGAGCCCTGCGAGCGATATGTCTCCAGGTGGAAGATATTGTCCGGCGTGCTCTTGTCGAGGAACAACCCGTCGATTCGATTCTCACGTCGCACCAGGCCCTTCCGTCGCAGTCTTCCCGGATTGGATGAACGTCGCACCGTTCTCGTCGACCTTCTCCAGATCAATTGCGAGTGTAGTAGGATCATTTTAGTGTATGCGAGGACCTTGGCGCCGAAGAGCGCGATAATGTGGTCGGAGATGACGTCGATAGACTCGGCCTGTAAATAAGTGTCGTCGATGCCGAGGTGGCTGTAGAACCAGCTGACCTTGTTCGGCACGAGCTCGCGAGGGATGAAGCCCTGAGGACAATTGGTCGGTAAACACGATTCTAAGTACCGTGAAGTTTCAAATATCAATGTGCATGTGCATATAGGCTGCTAGCGAGCACGTATTGAAACTGAGGAACTGAATGGCTTCAACAGCTAAACGCAGTAGAATAGGTCCGTACATCATGCCCGTTTATGCTCAAAGCATGTAGCCCTGGAAATGAGCTTTGGTTTTATGACGGGGCGTCCCGTGACGCGCAATAAATCACCCTCTACGACAGCGCAACCCAAGAGCAACGAAACGTTGGTCTTAACGAGTGTTGGCACTCAAGATCATCAATCCGGATCCCGGTCGGAGGCGGATGCAGCAGAACGAGGAACACAGCGCGGCGAATCCAGACCGAACCGCGAAAAACGCACCTTTGCAGCAACATTTGCCTGAACTTTGGCCCGCCGCTCCTCCTTCCCCTTGAAGACGGGATTCTTGTATCCGGGCACGTCCTTGATTCGGTTCATGGACTGCTCACGACTGGAGGGGTGATGCTGGCCCGGAACCAAGAGATGCGTCCTCACGGGGTCCGAGAGCAGGGACGGGGTCGAGCTGCAGCTCGGGG